TTATTTATAGTGTTGGGAAAATAGGTGTCCAAAATTATTCAGTGATATGTAGATACATACAAATAATAGCTTTTAATTTTTTAATCATTTATCCAAAGTTTTTAAATTAGAGGGTGTTAAAATTTCAAGAAAAATATTTATTTGTTAAAATAATTTTTGAACATAAATAGATAATTTAAGTAAATTTTTATTACATCACTTTTAAATAATAATAAAATATAATATTAATAAAAAGTTTGTATAATAATTTTTGATATATTTTATTAAAATAAAGTTTTAACACAATAAACAATAATATTACGAATGCACGGTTTAGTAAATGACATCAAATATAATATTATCTTTGAATGACATCCCTATATTATTTTTTTTTAATAATAATAATATTAATAATAATAGTTTATTTGCAAAAGGTGTACATTATTTTACATTATATAATATGTATACAATTTTTTGCAATTTCTGGAAGTCAGTTCGAGTTCCAGACCAAAGAAAAAAAATATATATGAGGAGCGATCAGACAAATCCATTTAAGTAATTTGCAGAAGCAAAAGCAAATCACCAAAATAAATATGTCTGGTTTTGTCTGATCGCTCCTCATCTAATAATTGAATTTAAACTTAAGAACAAAATATGAAAAAAAAATCTAATCTTAAGAGTGGTCAAGTAGTACTTGCATGTACTTTTTTTTAATTCATAAGCCCAAGGGATGTATCGGTAGATCATTGTAAAGCCGGTAAATATTTTATGAAAAGGATCCACAAAACTTAAAGGTGATATGCATTGGTGAATTATTATGCCTTTAAAGGGCGGATTTAAGGTATGAACATGACTTCTGAATATTATTTCATTGTAGAGGTAAGGAGGGCATTTGTTAACAATTATAGAGTGGTATAATGTGGCCTGGTGTAATGTCCTGTTTTCCATAGTTAACCAATTGGCATTTTTTAATGTATGAGATACTGGTCAAACTTCCTTATACCGTAAATAAAGCTCTTCTGGACTCTTTGGATGCGACTAACTAACGGGTCAGTCAAAATTTTTTAAAAAATTTGTGAAGGTATATGATGGTGCACAGTTATATGTGAAGGTTCTAGGCTTCATTAACACATGGTAGTATATTATTATTAATAGAAATACTAATGTTGTTCTTAATTTCGAGTTTATTTTTTTCAAATATAAGAGCACATGATTTTAAGGGATTAATTTTGAGTTGGTGCTTTTCTGAGATTTCAATTAAATCATGCAGATCACTATTTATAGCCTCAGTTGCTTGGTGAGCTTGCAAGGGATTAAATGATGAATATTTTAACTGTGTGTCGTCAGCATACAAATAGGACTGACAGTGGTTTAATGATTTAGTTATATTGAATGTATAAATACAAAACAACAATGGTCCTAATATGGAATAAATACAAAACAACAAATACATACAACAAATACAAACAAATATAAATACAAAACAACAATGGTCCCAATATGGAACCCTGAGGGACACCACATGAAATAAGAGCTCTGTCTGATTTCCCTTCATCGGTTTCGACAAACTGCATTCTGGCAAGGTGAATTGCCAAGTTTGAAAACCCATTATAGTGAAGAATAGAAAAAAGAATTTCGTGATTGATGGTATCAAAAGCCTTAGAATAGTCTAATAATATTAAAGCTGATGTTTTTCCATTATCTATATCTTTTAGAATATCATCTGTTAAATCTAAAAGTGCCTTTTCTAAATCCAGATTGAGTGGCGAGTAGTATATTATTTTTCAAAATGTACTTACGATCTTATTTGAAGATTCATGATTTTTTCGAGAACACAGGTAAGATAGAAATAGGATGTAGATCATTGAAGCTAGTAATATTTGGCTTTTTGGGCAATGGCAGAACTTTAAAAACTTTCCATAATAAATTTTACAAAACTTCAAATATCTGGTGGCGTTCCATAGCATTGAGGGAATTCAAGAATTGTCAACAATACATTTAAAGCAGAAGAACTGAACATAATTTTTAAATAAATATGTCTTACTCGAAAAATTTGTTTTGAAAAGTTTCAATTGCACAGTTAAATCGCGAACGTTATTTGTGTTTCGCGTTGCAAGTAAAAACTGAAAAACTTGTTAGCGTGTGTATTTTTATCTAAGTAATCATGGTGAATTATTGTGTTTTAAATTGTAAAAAAAAATTCAAGAACTAAATCGTTGCATTTTCATGTTTTGCCTAAAGATCCAATTCGGTACGCATATTTGTTGGGGCAGAATTAACTAACGATAACTTTAACTAATATAATGTTTATTTAAGTTTGTATACTATAGTAACCTAAAAATCATTTTTTTTTATATTTGAGTATTTTAAGTAAACGCCGACAACTCCATTTTAAAACAATAAACGACAAAATATATCTATGAATTCATGGCAACATAATATTATATATAATAGCCGTTTTTGGTCTTTTACCGTTGTATTTATAAATGTGTATTTATCTAATAGGTACAATTTATATTTACAGGAATGTATGCAATTTTATTTATTCAGATTACCACTGTTTACTGGGAAACCAGTAGAAACCAGGATTTTCGTTTGACAGTTGATTATAATAATAATTATTAAAAGTTGTAAATGATGGTGCTACTGGCGATGCTTCTTTCGCGTATAGTCCATTAATTTAATTTAAAAAAAAAATAAAAAAAGATAATGTATACTTTAAATATTTTTGTTTTGCCGAAAGCCCCCTTAAGACGACGCACATCACGTTGAATCTGTACAAACACGCGTTACGATCAGAACTATGCGGCGCACTGTGAAGCATGTCCAGAAAAGTCTTCCTATTTCATAACTTGTCAGGTAAAATAAATGAAATAAAATCATCAATTAACTTAACCAAAATAATTTTTTTATGAGGATAATAATATTTAACAAACCAACGAAATATTTTGTAATTCATTTTTTATACTTTGGCGGGTTTAACAAACCACATTGAAAAAAAGTAATCTACTAAAAGAAATGAAAATCACTTTGATTCAAAAGATTTGCGCTTTTGAATAGGGAAAAGAGCTATGTTTCTTAATCTAAATCAGAAACTATATTAATTAAATAGATTCTTTAAATACATTTTTTTAATTACTTAAGGAAAGAGATTAATCTATTCGTTAAGGGTATTACAGTATTAGCTTAAATCAAGAGCAGATAGATATTTCTCTTTTGAATGAAGAAAACATTTTTTAGCGCAAAAATGGGATTTTAACAAGGAAACTGCATCTCTTAATTGAAACGCTTAGGAACTTTCTAAGAAAGAAATTTTGTCTTGCTACAAAAGCATAAACTACCACATTTTATTTTGATTCTAGAGCAAATATCTCTTGGTCCAATAGTATGTATTGCTTTATTCAAAAGCTTCTGATCTTCACTAAAACTACCAGCGTTGATAGTATTTAAGCTTAAATTCCCCTCACGGTGAGGGCCTCACCACATAGGTCTTTTGATTTTTATACTAACACCAATAAACAAACATAAATATGATTTAACATAAAATTTGTATTAGATATTTTAATTGATACCTTACATTAAAAAAAGATTAAAAAAATTAATTAAATTTCATTTATTTAAAAAGAGTTTTAATGATTCCAACTCCATAGTGAAAATAGACCACAACACAACACAACCGGCAAAATGTATATTAGAAATACCTATAACAGAATTATAATATTATATCACTGCCCCTAGAAAATGGCGAATTGCAAGTTGCAATGATACAAAACGTACTAAACCAAACGGTGTGCGTGTTTTGCATCCCCTCCCATGTATCAGAATCAGATTATGTTAGAAAATTGACACGCTATTGGATAATTGTGAATTAATTGCGTAAATATGAATAATTTTCATAGCTTTTGAACAAAAACACTTTGCACTAAAAACTTTTTTCTTCAAGCAATAAATACTCTTTTATGCTAAAATATTGTTTATCTCCACGCGGTCTATAATTTAAACTTTATTGTTGTCAACATTCGATAAAGAAATACCTTGTTATGGCCTAGGCCGATAACAATTTTTATGAGGCAAGTAATTAGTTCGATTTTTTCTCGCTAGGGGTATTGTTTTGACAAATTTATCCTTTTCTAAGAAATTAACGTACTAAACTGGTTTAATTTATTTATAATAAGCACTAATTTGTTTGTTTTACTGTTAATGTTTAATATTTTTCATTAAATTATTGTAAAATTAAATATGAAAAAGTGAGGTTAGGCAACCATAAAAACGCACGATTCTTTTTCTACGATTTAAATTATCTTTAAGTTTTTATTTGCTTTAAGTTTTCAGTGAAATTAAATGTTAAACACAGCTTAAACATTCCAAACTACCTATTTTTTAAATAAAAATCCAAACAAATTGAAATTAGATAGGTACCTATTTATTAAACAATTAATTGAATTCAATGTAATAGCAAAAATCCATTTCTACTTAAATCATGTAGCTAGATATTGTCAAACTATTACTGCTTCTAAAAGCAATAATAATTATTGTACATTTAATGTAATCTTTAGCTAATAAATAAATGAGATTCTAAAAAAGTGAGGTTAGGCCGCTTTGATGTTGAATTAAATTGACCTATATAAAGTGCTTTGAAGATAAAATATTGTATGCCATTCGGCCAAGAAGTGCCTTTTTGTGCTTCGCTCAAACCTTGAGCTTAGCACAAAAAGCCTTACTTCTTAACTTAATGACATAAATATCTATTCTTGCCGCTAAAAGTTTTTTATCAAGAGAGTTAACTACTTTAGTTTAAGGGCGCCTTTTTTTCAGTGCACAGTGCGTCGGTGTCATTGGCCATCGTGGTGTGCGGCGTCGACGTCCGTCGCCGTGGAAAGCGTCGGTATTTTGTACGGCCTCCCTCGCGCCCCTAAGCGCCTTGACTGAAATCGGGCGCCGCATTGTCTCATTTCTGCCCTTATTTCAGCCCCCTAAAGTCGCACACATCAGCAGCAGCACAGTTTGGCCGAACCAACCATACGAACTGCGGTGTCTTCGTTTTGGATACGCATTATTTTAAATTTAATTCAAGCTTTGAAACATGTTTCAATATTTGTTTGTTGGTGTTTTTGTGCTGGTTTTACAAATTAACGGTAAGAATTTTTATTAATATAAAAAAATTAAATAAGACAGAACCGATGTCTTGCCACAAAAATTCATACATTTTAGTTATACGAGAGATAATGCAGGATATTATTCACGGGGATGAGGTTTGCATCTCGAGTCGCCGGATGAGAGACTCAAATCATCCGATTGTAATACTATACTTTATCTACTCCAATAATGTTTGTAAAAATTAAATAAATAAAATCTGACATCTGTCAAATGGTTAACCTTACTTTTTAACAATTTTTAAATGTTATTATAGTCGCCTTCTTTCAATTTAAAACCTGATTGGTTCAAATCACAGTGGATATTGAAATCGGCCAATTTATGATGCCTAACAACGTGAATAATGAGTTTATTATTCACGTTGCTAGGCAGGGAATTTATAATGTTTATCAATATTCACGGAAAAAAACAAAATTATGCAATAGGAGTTTTATGTTTATGGAATTAGAACCCGCGGCATTAATTAAACCTTAAATGGTAAAAAGTTTTTGGAAAATACATGTGGAAGACGTAAAGACCTATCAAGACGGTAAAAACGCTGCGATATGATATTCATTTTATGATTAATGGGAATACACGCACGTGATTGGTATATGAGGGCACGAAATGATTGCAAACTTTTCACTTTTGCTGAATAGTTATCGCAAAATTGTAGATGTAATACTAGATCTACACAAAATCTTGCGAAAATTGTTGATTTTACTTTATATTATAACTTTCAAAAAATTGACTTACATCATATGGTTAATTTGTGAAAAGACTGGATTTGAAAAGACTACATTTGTTTAAAAAATATACATAATTTTATTTGGAATTCCAAATTGGAGTTGATCTTAAGATCAACAAGTTAACACGTTGATCTTAAGATCACGTTTATAAATTAATTTATCATTAATTTATTTATGACTTTGTAAAAAGATACCTAATTTCAATTAAAATAAGATATATTTCTATAAATGTAGATAATTGTCACAAAAACTAAAATAAAGATCTTTTGGATTATTACTTATTGACCAAAATTTCGCAATAAATCAATTTTATGAATGATTAACAGCTGAGTTTTGGACTTGCCTTGTCTTAATTTGATTGTTTTCTTACAACGTTTCGATTAGTAATTATCTCTAATGGTCTTCAGGTAATAACTGAAGACAATTAAAGATAACTACTAGTCGAAACGTAAGAAAAACAATCAAATTAAGGCAATGCAAGTTCAAAATTTTTCAACCATCACATGTGCTGGCTATATGAACCTCAATTGATGACGCAAATGATGCATATATGTGACATACGTGCGGATTAAGAATCACGTTGTGACTGCAATATGCGTAAATTATGAACCTCGCAATGTTTCTCCAACCATCACATGTGCTGGCTATATGAACCTCAATTGATGACGCAAATGATGCATATACCGTACCTTCATTTGCAAGCTAACCATAGGGAAAATACATTGTAACTGGACCAGATAAGTCGCAGTCAACACAAAGCGAGAACCTTTTCAGAAATGATTTGGATGCGTCGTCGAGACATGCGTACTAAAACAAATTTTACCAGATTTACACCGCACAAAATAAAAAACAATAATAAAGCATCGATGTATGAAGCAAGGTCGACTGTTACGGCGCATGCTAGCGTACTCGTCCACGCGTCCAAATCATTTCTACAACGTTTTTCGCTTCGTGCTGACTAAGACTTATCTGGTCCAGTTACAATGTATTTTCCCTATGTTAGCTTGCAAATGAAGGTACGGTATGCGTTGTGACTGCAATATGCGTCAATTATGAACCTCATAATGTTATCTGGGTACTCTCTGTTTGAAACGTCCTCTAATTTATGTTATGACAAACGATTTGACAAATGTCACCACTATAGTGGTGACATATAGGTAATTCCATTTATTAGCCACCAATGAGTACACCTCATATACTCTAATTTTATTTCTTTTTTAACTGTAAATAAACATGGACGCAAGAAGTGAAAAAAACTCCCCTTGTCTTTTCTCCCCCTATCACCTATTTATACAGGGCTACGCAAAAGTTACTATGCAGACCTAACTTTTAAAAATTGTACTTTTTTTGCTAATAAAGCTATCGATATTAAACAAACTGTTAATTGTTAAGAAAATATTTCTCTTTTAAACCATATAGAACACATTTAATGGTCTTTGGGAATTTTTTTAAAAGCAATTTTTGGTCAAAATTGTTTAATTTTATAAAGTCATATATTCTTAGAACAACTTGCCAGCAAATTTTTGTTAATGTAGTTTGTTACCAAAGATCTTACTCTAAATAAAAGCAATGAAAACATTTTCAAATAATATTGGCTAAGAGTTCAAAAAAATATAATAAAAATTCATGTTTTCGAAAAATCACTATTTTCAGCCATTTCATGGTTTAAAAAGGCTATGTTTGAGTGAGTCGATTTAAACCAATTTATCATCACATGTATTAGTTTCCAATAACCATAATAGTTATTTATGTATGTATTAAGGGCATAATAAGGTTTTTATGGTTCGAGGCGCTATTTCAAGCCCGAGCGCGTTAGCGCGAGGGCTAGAAAAGCGTTGTAGGACCATAAAAACCAGTTATGCCAGCAATGCATACAAAACTTTATGCACGATTAATATATTATTATTTTTAATATATTATTGTTTTTAAAGACGTTTACGTCAAAGAATTTTTGTTATATATTATAATGTCAACTGACATCAGTCAGTTTTAAAGTTTAAAGATGAATGAAATTGAGGAAGCAGCTGAAAAGGCGAAAAATTGCTGCCTGCTGCCGGAAAAATCAAAATCTTTATACGAAAAAACTTACTTTGAATATTGTTGTTTTTAATTTTTGACGTTTCATTATAGCCCGCTGGGTCATAATAACGCCCGCGGGCTATAAAAAGACGTTTACGTCAAAGAATTTTTGTTATAATTGTCATATTATAATGTCATCGTGCATAAAGAAAATTATTGTGTATTTTGCTTTTAACTGGGCTGTGGCTGTATCATCTACAGACCAGCTATAAGCAAAATACACAATAGGCCCACCGGACTAAATCCATAATATGGATTATAATATTATTAATTTTATTAATTTTGTCTATTTGTCTATTTACAGTTAAAAAATAAATAAAATTAGAGGATATAAGGTGCACTCATTGGTGGCTAATAAATGGAATTACCCCACTGACGAAATAAGTATATTTGCGAAACAGGCTAACTTGATATTTTTCTATTGCCTACTAATTCGCTTGATATTTTTTTGTGGGGAGATATTTTTAATAGCGTTTTTCTCGAAAACGGTTGGCTCCATGACTTTGTAACAAGAGCATCTTTTTTATCTGGAGAATTTTATTCCAAGATCAATAATTAAAAAAAGTTGTAGAATCACCTCTCGAAATATATTAACGTTATAAAGTACTTAATTTATTTTTCTACTTTAACTATACATAATACAATAAAAATAAGGATTTGAATTATCAAATCATTAAATATTGACTCACCGATAACGTTGAAGATAAGAAAAACACATAATTAATATTGAATAAAAAATTTAAACTTTATTATTTTTTACATCAAACTACTTTAGTTTAACAATATAATTTGATAATAAATTATATTTTGATGATTTCAATGTTACCTATTGGCAGAATCAAAGAAATTTACAAAATTTCATTCTATATTTTCAGGAGGACACGCAATAAAATGTTACTCCTGCTCGAGTGAGTTCAACAGGTCCTGCTTAAAGCCGTACCTGAGCAACATTTCACTGGTGGAATGTTCTCTGGAAACCATGGAGGAAACTCAAAGGTTCGCCGCATCGGTTAGACCGGAGTACAAAAAAGTTTTCGAAGTCGACCTCAACCACATCACCAGGCAACTGCCTCTAAGTTGTCTTAAGCAAGTGACGAAAGGTAAGAAAATAACTAATCTTTTTTTTATGAAAGAATATAAGCAGAATAGTATCGGGCGCCGCGGAATTATTCTTGTGTTAACATAAGGTGATATTTTCAATTATTCTGCGAATTAAAATTATCATGGTAGATGTTTAAAAATTTAATTAAATTTTATGCCAAACAGATAGTTTTAATTTTGTTTCTTATATTTGTATTTTTTAGTTAAACAAACACAGGGTGTTATGTAACTAATGTAATATATTAAAATACTGAATACCTTTTGACATAAGGTGTTACGGAAAAATATTTTTTAGTTTTTTATTTTTTTTGTGATACGCCACTGGTTACACATTTCTTTTTCTTCTTTAGATTTATTGGCCTTTAGCGTAATTAAATGCTATTTGGCCAGAACATTATATTTTTAAAATTTTCTTTACTGTTCAAGGAATCTGAGATTAACTCATCTCTTAAATTATTTATCTACTGATTAATTAAATTTTTATAGAACCATGTCATCTTTTCACTTCACTATGCATACATGGCTTAATGCACAGACTCTTCTAAGTATATTCAATCCTCAATCATCCAATCTATCTCTTGATTATTTCCATATAAATTTATAAATTCTTCATCCATACCAGAGGGAACCAGTGGGAATCCAATTTTGCCTCTCCTGGGTCGAGAAGTCACTTATATTTCAATAACTATTTCATAGAGCTACCCTACCTTAAAACGCAAAATCGAACTCCTGGTTACACGCTTGTGTTTTGTGAGTACATAGATACCAACCAACAAAGTAGCTAGTTGTAAAAAATTGTTACTAACATTTTTTCTTGCAAAAAATAAATAAAAACTCAATAAATACGAAAGTTGTATGCCCTTAAAGCTCTAATACCCTTCTGTATTTACCATCCAGCTATTAGCTTAAGCAATGATTAGAAAAATTAGTACCCATTTTAAAAACTCCATAACTACAAAATACATTTTTTATCGGTTTTCAATTTGTGTAAATAAATCCAAAAGCACTTCCCTTAGTTAAGATATTTACAATTTGAGCACATAACCTAAAATTTTAAAGAAATGCTCTAATTAATGGTAACTTACCAGATTCTGTCATAAAAGTTGCCAGATTTTGTTTGAATTTACCTTCAATACTAAAATGACATAATCAACAATATTTATTAATAAAAACGCCAAATTAACAATTTGTATTGTTGATTTTGTCATTTTTGTAATTAAGCTAAATTTAAACAAAATTTGGCAACTTTTTTGACAGAATTTGGAAACGCTTGTTGTTACCAACCATAACATAATAAATTAAATTAGGCAACCAGATTAGCCTAATCAGTCGATCAGTGGCGTACTTTTTTGGTAGGATAAAGGTTTTTATAAATTATTTTTAGTCTTTAGAATTTAGAGAAAAAAAGTTTCAGGTGCTTCTTTATGGACCCTAAGGAACTATCCATTTTAATATATTACATTAATTACATAACACCCTGTATTTTTAATTTGCTAAATTAAAAATATCATAGGAGATATTTCTAATTCGATTTAATTTTTATTTTATTAAATAAGCAGATATTTTTAATTGAATGTGATATTTTTTATTCGGATTTAAAGTTTGGACACCCCTGGTATTCCAAACTAATTCTGTCGCTAGATGGCGGTCAATCACTGGGATCTACGACGTAAGTGAATAAGAACAGTTGTAGCGTTTGGAATAACAGTCGGAATTAAAAATATCTCATTCAATCAAAAATATTCGCTTATTTAATAAAATAAAAATTAAATCTAATTTTAATATATCTGCTATGATATTATTAATTCGCAGAATAAAAATTCTTATTTGATATTTTTTATCTAATTGAAAATATTTCTCTAGTGTTAACAAATAAAAATAATTTCTGAATAAAAAATAAAACAGCGCCCCATAGAATAGTAAACAGCACATAATTATTATGTAAAATTCCCAATAAATGTGTAGCAGTAAATTTGTTCCCAATTTTTATTAAACTAAAATTAAAACAAATAATTTTAAACTATTTTCAATATATTTCATTAAATTGTGTGCAATATTTCAAAATTCAACTACAGAATTTATCTAACTAATCCTTTAATTTAATTACATTTTGTTATCTAAAAAAAGATTTTATATAGGGCACGCAGTTTTATAGAAATCAATTTTAATTTTTTATATTCTAATAGAAATTTCTAGACATTAGCACTTGTTGATATCATCAATTAATAGAATAATTCTATTAATTAATGATATCAACAAGTGCTAATGTCTAGAAATTTAGTCAGTAAAGTTTTGTGCATACGGCAATTTTCAATCCATTTACGAAGTTTTATCTAAAAATGCATTATCTTATTTTGTAATAACTACACTGCGCGTCAAAATTAACGCATAATAAGAGAAAATATTTTTAAAGCCCTTTTATTTATTAATAAAAAAACGTTTGAAAAATAACTTTTAGGGAATTTTTTTTTAAGTATATAAAAAATATGCTGTTAAAGACCGTATTTTTATTAGTATACCCTGAAAATTTTGTACAAATCAAACGAACATTAACGAAGATACAGTGCTTCAAAGTCGGTAAAAATTACCCCTTTTTGATTATTTTGCTGAAAAGTGGTCATTATTACCGACTTTGAAGCGCTGTATCTTCTTTACTGTTCGTTTGATTTGTACAAAATTTTCAGGGTATACTAATAAAAATAAGGTATTTCACAGCATATTTTTTATTTACTTAAAAAAAATCCATATAAAAGTTTTTTTTCCGAGCGTTTTTTTATTATTAAATAAAAGGGCTTTAAGGATATTTTCTCGAAAACCCTTGAACACTTAAACTGAGATATAAGTTAAAGTATTTTTATTCAAAATTTTATAAAGATTGGTAAAGGCGTTTTAGAGTTAGAATTTTTTTACTTATTATGTGTTAATTTTAAAGCGCAGTGTATTAAGTACCTAAATCCTAACAAATTATAGGTACCCTTCAAAACATAATTTCATTAAAAATGTTATTGGTAGGAAACTTTAAACCACCAACAATAATGGCATCGCACTTTGGTAAAGCAGCGTTTTTCAAATTTTGTTTCAGTTGAAAACAAGGAGTACGTCATCCGAGGTTGCCAGCTCGCCGAACAAAACAACCTAGACATCTGTCACAAGGTGAAAACGGAAGACAGAGCGACGGTGGCAACGTTGCATTGCTCGAGATGCGGCACCGATGGATGCAACTCCGCCGGGGAAATTTTCGACGTCGCGTCGACATTTTTCGCCGTTCTATGCGCATTGACGAACGCCTATGTACGCGTAGTTTAAAGAATTTTATATTGTTTAGAGATGCAAATAAAAGTTTAAATAAGAGTACAGCATTTTTTTTATTTTAACAGTTTTTTTACCAAACATAAGGTAAGCTGGGCCAAGAGTGCGTATGTGTTTAAGAGTACGCACGAAAAAGTGGTCGAGAATCGGAGATAAAATGGCCGATAGCCCTACTATACCATTATAAAACAAAAAAAACAAAACAAAATATCAAAGCAATCTTAACCCAAATTGCGAAACCCAAAAATATAAGTTTAAATACATATATTTATATGGATGAATAAAACCCCCGTGCACCACAATAATAAAATAATAAATTTTACTAATCGAGACAAAAACTATAAAAGATCAGACAACAGTTTTAAATAATTAAATCTGAATCAAAACAAAAACACCGGCTCTACACACACTGCAACACAAGCTGCCATCCACCACATCTTCAGTCATGTGATATAAAAACACCAATTAAAGCTCCAATTATCTCGGCTCAAGCAGCGTCAAATAGACGCAAACTCGCCTGATATATTAGTGGGTAAATAGTTTCGATCTTTTCTGGTAAGTAGGAGCTTCACAGGCTATACAAATTTGCGTGGATTTTAATTTACCATTTATGCTTATAGTATGATTAATTGATTTTTTTACTTTTTACTGTGTAGAACTGTAATAAAAGTACACTTTTAATAGGTAAAAAGCTAAAAACAAAAGGTCGTTCGTTCCTTCATTTTTAAGATATACGCCCAAACTCATATTTTATATCTTTTAGAATTACTTAATTATGATGGATTTATTTACTGCTTGTTTATTTGTAATTTTACTAATAAATAGTCACTATTTTGAACATATTTTAGTATTTTTTTTATAATTATTGGAATTTATATTGGCAACAAACAGATCGTTAGATATTGTTCAGATTATCTGTATTGATAACAGTCTTCGGCAAATACAAATTAAACCTAATTGATAAGTGGCTGATTTTACCTGATTAAACGGTATATAAACAGTTTCTGTGCAAAATTTCATCATTACAGTGACTTAGTGATCGAATTAAAAATGAGAGCCAGTATCGTTTTTGTTTTTGCTTTATGCGCTATAAGCCAATGTAAGTCATAGCATATAGTTGGGAAAAATATGTTTTAATTTAAAATATTATTTTTTAGCAATGGCTCTAAAATGTTTAACATGTCGGGGAGAGACCTGCAGGCAAAGGCTTGCATTTGTGGAATGCAACTCAAACCATTTTGAAAGTCTTCCAAGTAATGTTAAAAACATCAACATCTTAAACACTGAAGGAGAGTTCCAATGCATTGAAGCTGAATATAGAGGTAATATATTATTTTAATTATTATCTACTAAGTCACTTTAGACGTTTAAAAAATAAGTGATAAGTAAAGGTATAAAAAATTACCTGAACACTAATTCTATCCAGGCAACAGCCGTCTCTATAGTGCTCATGTTTGAAGCTACTGTATCCAAAATCCAGTACCTTTAAGCATTCGGATCAATTTTATAATATCAGCTTTACTTGATAAGGCTCCATTGCAACAAAAATTCCTTGAAACTCTTTAACCCACACAGAATATGCTTGCCCTTATTTGAAATCAAATGAATTTATTTTTTAGAAAACGAGAAACTAGAAACATTAATGCAATGTAGGTCAAGCAAGGTTACTTTGGGTAAAACTCCAATGGAAGAAGAAAATACCGAAGATGGTACCAAAGATGATCCCGAAGATGGTGCCAAAGATGAAACCAAGGATGAAACTAATGATAATACCGAAGATGGTACCAAAGATGATCCCGAAGATGGTGCCAAAGATGAGACCAAGGATGAAACTAATGATAATACCGAAGATGGTACCAAAGATGATCCCGAAGATGGTGCCAAAGATGAGACCAAGGATGAAACTAATGATAATACCGAAGATGGTACCAAAGATGATCCCGAAGATGGTGCCAAAGATGAGACCAACGATGAAACTAATGATAATACCGAAGATGAAGCCAAAGATGAAACCACACCGGAACCAACTGATAGTACCACACCGGATCCAACTGATAGTACCACTCCAAACTCAGTTGATAGTACCACACCAAACTCAGATGATAGTACCACACCAAACTCAGATGATAGTACCACACCAAACTCAGATGATAGTACCACACCAAACTCAGATGATAGTACCACACCAAACACAGATGATACTTCATCAACAATCCCAGACGATAATGGGGGTTCTAAAACAGGTTCTGGAAGCATGGTTCGATCATTTTCCGCAATGGTCTGTCTTGCAATCGCATTAGTCAATATTTGGTAAATAAACAATAATTTTGTATTATGTTCATTCAAACGCTTTATAGAAAATAAATAAGACTTTTTATTTAACAATGTGTACATTATTTTCCCACAAAATTAAATTGAATAAAAATATAGTTATGTATGTTATTAGGCTGAAAAGTAAGCGTTACGGAGGCCCACAATTGAGTGAAGCACGAATTTTTGTATTGGTCCAAACAGACAAGGAGGCAAAAACCTATAATAATATCAAGGGGAATCAAATTAAAGAGACCTGTGTGCCAAAATAAAAAAATACATGTTTTGAGACAAAAATGATTTTTTTGATGTCCCTCGTATCAACCAAGATGCCGGGGACACATATTTAAATTTATAAACAGAACTGGTTTCTTACCTTTTTTATTCTTGTTTATTTTTTAAGTATCAGTTCGGTTTTTCCAAGGAGTAGCAAATAGTATTTTTAAATTGTGTACCACATAACCATCAAATTAATTTGTTAAATGGTAATTTGGAAAATGATAGTAAGAGTGAGGAGTTTTGTACTGTTATTTGGTGGATTTTTGGCGAATATTTATTTTGTTAGCGGTACCCCACAGACCAGTTTAGGTAAGTTAAACTGTTTATGTTATTGATTTAATAAATACAACTGTTACAAATTTAATGTGATCTTTTAAACCTTTAACAAACATAAATTTCAAATAAAAAATAAATCAAATATTGCAGCAAAATGGCTGCTGACCAGTATAATTTTTGTTTGCTAAATTGTATTAAATTTAATTTTAAATATTTGCGAACTAAAGACAACATTTTTTCAATTTTTAGAATACAAACCGATTAGACCTAGCTTCAGTCCCAGCGGTTCCCACACGACCGGACAGCTCATTCCACCGGGACCGCCATGGCCGGACAGCGTAGAGGGATACCAGAATTTTAGTTCCATCACGAAACCCCCAATGTTGGCCGACAGACTGCCAGATTTGTCACCAACAACGCAAAGAAACCCGAATGTGCCATCTTTCGCTGGTAGCAGCGACACCCATAAAGTACCGCCGGGTAAACCATGGCCCGATAGTGCTGAAGGGTACCACAACTTTAGCGTCATAACCAAACCAACAGTTATCGTGGATAGATTACCTGAAGTTAGTACGGATAGAAACCCGAATAAACCCAGCTTTGCCGGTGCTACCTTCATAAACGGCATGGTACCCAGTGGTAAACCTTGGCCCGATAGCATCGAAGGGTACCTAAACTTTACCACCCAAAAACCAACAAGATTACCCAACTCCAGCACACCATTCATCGATTTATTTTATCCCTTGGTTCATACCACGTCGAACCCTGATTTATTCACCACAACCACAATGGTACCGCCAACCATAGAGGATCCAATACCACCCAAAAGCGAAATACCGATGAACCCTCAACCACAAGATCTGAACAACTTGGACTTTTTTAAGCCACAGTTTAAACCAGTGGATCATGAGACATTCTTTAGACCTTTCGGCATAGATCACCACGAAAATAACCATAGAAAAACCACCATGGTACCGGAAACAAAGCCACCAATGGGACCATCAGTAATAATCAACATACAAAAGCAACCCATGGGTACCACAACCAAAAAAACCAAAGTACCAACAAGAAAACCTACTACACGTAAACCAAACGTTATGGTGAGCAGTTTATTACCACCAGAAGCTTTGGAGGTTTTAGAAGTTCAATATAAAGGAAAACCCTCCACCACTGTGGTACCAACTGTAACCAGGCCTACCACAACAGAAAAAACAACAGTTTTAAATATTATAAAAGCTCCTGCTACCGTGTTACTGCCTCCAAAATATTATTATCATAATGGGGGCAATGAAAACTCAAATAATGGAAATATTAATTTTAATTTGGGCGATTTAATGCTGCCCCAAGTTTTTGTGTTTTTTGATAAGTATGATTACAAACCAGATTCTCACGAAAATTTTAATAGTTTTTATGATGGACATTATTAAAAGATTTAGATTTCTGTAACTTGGATTAAAATTAGCAATTTAGTTTTAAATAAATTATTTTTTTCTACAGACATTCTGTATAGCAAATGTAGTATATTGGTCTTCCCTATTCAAAACATATCACATAAGTAATGTTGTCTGTGTTGCATAACTACAAACCCACTTATTTGCTACAGATACATGAAGAAAAAAAACAGTAACCATTGATCCGCAGATCCAATCAATATATTATTGGAAATCATATTTAATGGGCAAAATATTAATAACTATACTTTCTGGCAGACTGCCAGACTGCCGGTGGCAGTACTCATTAACTCTAACTTCTTCATTCCTTCTTCATTTCATAAGAGAAGAAGAAATCCTGAAGTAATGACGCTGTAGATGCATTCGATATTTTCAGTTCTTGGAAGATAAAAAAGTCACAGGGGGCCAAATCTGAAAAATACGGAGGATGCGACTAGAGGAATAATACTTTCAAAAATCAATTTGTTTTAATTATTGTCACTTAACCAATTTTATTTCTTCTTTCTAACGAAAACAAAACCCATTCACTTTCAAGTATGAATGATTCAACAATTTTACATGTGACAAAACCTGTTAAACTAAACAAACAATTTCCCATTGTCAAAACTTTGATCTATCACATCCTTCATGAGAACGATAACCGAAAAAAAACTTTGATCTATCACATCCTTCAAGAGAACGATAATCGAAAAAAAAATTACCAATCAACAACTAAAAAATGATTTACTATTTATATCTTACTAATAGTTAGGAGGAAGCTAGATGAAGTGAGATTAAAAAATACCTACAACACCCTACTCCCTAACTAATTAAAAATGTTATTAATTAGTTTTTTATTATTTATTTTTTTGTAATTGTTCACCAGGATATTATTTCGAACAGAAATCCCGAGTAGTATGCAAATCGATTGTATCCGCATACTTTTATTCATTTTTTATGTGTTACGAACAATGACAAAAGTTTATTAGTTTATTACGTATTGTCAACTTTCAACGAACCTTTACAATGGTTGATGTAAATATTCAGTACTTGACTTGAGAGAATTCCTACTTTCAAAAATGGAGAATTCGCCGGGGTCAACAAAATGTTTTCAATACAGAAGACGATTGTGAAATATATACCGGGTGTCTATTTAAAAACAACCAATGCTTTTTAAGTACGGACCTAAAATATAAAATATACGAGTATATCCAGATTTTTTTTATAACTATTTCCATTTATCTTATATAAACCAATGGCGGCTCGTGGGTGTATACTCTCTTAAAATGAATTAGTCAAAAATATCTAATTATAAGTCATATTTGACTAATTGTCATAGCGAAAAAGCAGTCACTACACTGAAAAAACTTAGCATTAAATATAAACGCTATGCATTTGTGATAAAGTAGTTACGGGTTCAGATATGGCCTAAGAAACGTGCATTTGATATAAAGGCATGGTGGATTTGAAATACTGAAAGTTAGTTGACTTATTTTTAACTGCATCATTACTTTAAGTAAACATCGGGTTGCCTTAACATCTAGAATAGGCTTATTTTTGAAACACATTAAATGTATTTGTTGTTAAAACAATGTCTTATTATTTAATGCTTGGAGCCTGATAGCAAACAGCATTTTTAGGTAATATGTACTTCAGTAATAACGATGACCTTAATGTTAAGGCATAATTCTAGAGTGAAAATGCAAAACTAAGTACCAAATCAGCGGATTGCGAGATTTTGTTTTGATCTGCAGACATGTACTTGGGTATTAATTTTTTTTTGTTTTATCAAAATTGTATTTATTTATATGTTAGCACTTGAATAATTTTAATAATTTTAAGTATACTTTTTTTTAAGTATACATTTTTTTGTCTATAGACAAAAAAATGTTTATTGATACAAAAGTACAGACCACATAAATAACAAAATCTCAAAATCCGCTGATTTGGCACCGGTTTGCATTTCCACCATACAATTATTTTGACTAATGTATACTAATGTATAGCCTGAATTTCATACTTTTTGTTTGATTAATGAGAAATAAAATGTGCATATAATATTTTTAAACAATTTTATTATATCCTATTTTATGGAATATAAAAATACAAAATGGACTAAATAAATACTCTTAGGCTGTGGTCAGAGCACCGTGATCGGCCGAAATTTAATACTGTCGCATTCGGCCGATGCCGAACGACTCTGACTACATCTTTAAAACAGTTAACAAAAATACTACCTGTTGATGCTAATAAAAGATCATTAATTGCTCCTGCTTATCTAGTAACTCTGTAATTTTTTGATGACTGCAAATCTCTCTCCTAATTTAGAAATAAGTTGGCAAACACTTTGCGAGTCGAGGACTAGCAGCACTTCAAGCGTAATGGCTTCTTCTAAATAATAACAAAGAGTCACCTATCACAAATGTACCTTTCCCACAGTAAACTACTTAATATTTAACTTTTATATTATTTGGTATCTATAAAATATGAATATAGGTACCTACCAAATAATTGAAATTAATTTACATGAGGTCTAAACTCTTACCTTCGAATTTGGGAATAAGGTGCACAAGACCTAAACCCTCCAGTAGCTCCTTACATGACATTTGTTCTCTACCATAAACACAAAAAACTGTTCTATGAAACCGACAAAACGTACAAAGTATCTGCATGGAGGCTCTCGTACCAATGACGCAATACCAACTTAATAAACTTGTTGTTATAGGTTATGATTTCTTTCTGATGCTTGCAAGGAATGTAAACAACGAATACTAACGTTAAAATAAATTCATTGTGCATTATAGTTTTATCCCTATATAACCTATAACAATAATAGCTTGATTATTTAATGAAATCCCTGAATTCATAACAATAAAGAAACAAGTACTTCCAATATAAAATAAATGTTTATATATTTACCCTAAAGAAAATTGTCTTAATAATAAAGACACGCAGGGTTACATTAAATTCATGTACCCAAATACTCTATGAGTTAAATGTTAGGAAACACTTATTATAATAATATTGAATGTTTCATTAAATTAATTACGGTTTTTAACTTTTATAGACAGTGTTTTAAATAATAAAAGGTTGGCCTCAAATTCACCTACAACTTAAAAATTAATACTGACTTTTTTCAGTGTAATAATTAGTCAAATTCTACTGCATGAAATAGTCAAATTAGGAGATTTAAATTTAAAATAAGTTGAATTTATTATTTATTTGTTTTGAGCTAAACTTTTTGCATCTTTATTTGTTTTTATGGGTCATTTAACCATGGAATATATGCATTTAATTCAAATAATACTTTGTTGTTGGCCGCAAACGATTAAAGAAATTAGTTACTTTTAACTTTCAGAAATAGTCAATAGTCAAAGATGGTGTCTAATCTTTAATTAGTCAAACTTTAACTATTTACGTAGTAAAAAATAACTATTTAAATGTGAAAACGACTATTTTATTCGTAAAAAATGCTGGTACTAATTCAAATAGTAAAATTTTGCCTATTTCATTTTTAGAGAGTAGGAGGGTGAGGCTACATGAGGTTAATTTTGTCAAACTACGAATAAATGTTTTTTCTGCGACGCGTTATTATAAATAAAAAAATAAAGTAAAAAAAAAAACAAAACAAAGAAAATATCAAAGCAATCTTAACCCAAATTGCGAAACTCAAACACATAAATTCGTTTTTAAAACTTTAAAATATATGTTTCGAAATATATTCATATGAATGGATAAAAATATTTATACATACAAATAAAACAAATAAAATATCAGAGCAATCGGAATACCCACCCCCTGAACTCCAATTGTTTTTGACGCGGCCTAATAAAATACAATGCCAACAGAATAGGCTTTGTTTATAAATACTTCCGCATAGCCACTTATAGGTTTCGTACCAAGATATTTGAAACGTTCGTGAATATTGCTTACCCTGCCTCTTATCGTTAAATATTAATGACAATATCTGTCTTTTTTTAGTTTCGTTTCTTCTTAAAAAGGCTATGCTCAGCATTGCTCATACTCTAAAGTTTCAAAAGTCTTGCATCACTTTGTAATTCCATCTAGAAGTTAGCGCATTTAATGGTAACAAAATATCCTCTTTCTATTAGGTAATTAACTGTTTTTATAACATAAAAAAGTTTGTTGATACTTACCCAATAGGGGGGCAAAAAGAAAAAATGCGATTTTTTTTAATAACAGGTAAATATTTGTACAAATAATCTAAGAAATTTTAACACTTTATTGAGTAACTTGTATTGCTTTGTAACAATGCATGAACACGTCTGGGCATGCCTCGCATAAGGTTATTTAGGTATTTTTAAGAAATGTTATTCCATTTCTCAACAGCGGCTACAATAAGCTCTTGAACATTCATGGGAGGGTTCAAACGGTTACGAATCAATCTGGATAAATAATCTCAGACGTGTTTAACGAAATTCATGTCCGGAGAAAGAGATGGCCAATCCATTCTGTCAATTTCACCCTCGCTTGTAAAGTTCTTCCACAAAGCAAACCCGATGCAATGACGTGTCTTCTGATTGTGGCATTAGAAATAAGTTGGTGGTATGAAGCCTGTTACTGCCTTCGAAGACTGCTGACCGTGATGGACCCTTTGAGTTGTAACCCTTGGACGCCCACTTCGATGTCTACTTCCACAGAACCCGTCTCATTATGCCTTTGAATGGTCCGAGTAACCATTATATGGTCTATGGTCTATGGTCACAGCCTAATCTATCAGTTTTCGTCGATGTGACAGACCTTCCTCAGAGAAAGATTATTTGCAAACGAATTTTATTGCGAAGTTGAGCTCTAGGCATTTTTAAGGGGATTTTCAACACTATTTAATATTAAGCGACACGTACAAAACTGCATATTTTGTTTAAGATTGCGAAACAGATTTACTTCTTCGTTTTTACGGTGATTTTTAGTTCCATAACAAAAACTTCCCTCTTTAACATCGAGAGACAAAGACCCAACATGATCACTTTGGCAACGTTGTTTACTAACATCGCATTCAAAAGATCCACCCCATCAGACCACATTCCCACCTTGTAAAGCTCTTAAGCTGACTTAAGTATTTAAAATACCCATACATCGGAAGTAATCGTGCCAAATTGTTTTTCGTCTGTGACCTCCCCGCAATGATTCCCATCGAACCAATCTAATTCACTCACTGTTTATTTATACCGCGGTCAATTAGCCATGCTGCCAGAACCCGCGAGCACGGTACCCGCAGTACCCGCCAGTACGCACATCTGCAAGCCCACCTCTTGTCGCGCGTTTCGCTACCGCAATCGCCAAGTGGGACACCTAGACGCCATCACGCACACCAAGGTGTCGCAGTCGCTCTTCGGCAACGAAACAGTGCGGTACCAAGTAACCCTGGTTGTATACCCACACTCATAAAGTGCGTAAGTGAATGCGTTAAAGCTCAAATCAAATTAAAGTGGCTACGACGACGCGTGCCACCATTCAAACAGGTGAGTGAGGTGAATTTGACAGCTGTCAAAAAAAGGCGGGAATGTTGTCGTGTAGGTTATGTCACTTAATTTGACATTTCCAATATAACATGATAAAACTAAAACAAATGCAGGATGTCTTCTGAATATTACATATAAATTATTTTTATTTATTATTACTTAACACTAGTAACTTTCTATTATTTAATCTTTATACGTTTGACATTTTTCGTGCACCAATTAAGTCTTCAGTGAAATTTTAAGGGGACTTAAAATAATATGACTTTTGAACTAGTATTAATATCTTTCTATAGACTTAGGAATAAAAATTATTATTGTACTATACTTATATAGACTGAAAATTATTGTACGCTTAAAAAAAATGTCAAGCCTTAACCAAACCACATTTTTTTAATAATAAAAGCTTGAATTTAATTTTAATTAATTTAATTTAAAAAAAATGCATTCTTCTACAATTTATCTTAACACTAGGTGTTATTTTAGCTCTAGGTGCATGATTTCTTTTATTCAAAAAAAAATGTTTTTTAATGTATATACATATACATATGTAGGAAAGACCCCTTAATCCTATTTTTTTTTAATTTTAAACATTTGTAACATGGAGAAAGTACCAAAATTTATAATAGTTTCGCAATTTTTAAAATAACGTCTTGAATACTAAAAAGGTATTCGTCTGATTCGTAATTATTTACGCAAAAAGTTAACAGGTCTAAAGCACAATTTATATCCGCCATAATTTTTTAACACCCCATATATTTTAACATTAATTTTTCCTTAAATAATAAACGTAATTTCCTTTCTTTTGGTGATAATGGTATTTGCAATTTTAATTTTTAAAATCGGTATAAAAAACAACCTGTATAATATTTTGAAAAAAAATATTATTAACTTTCTTAAAGTTGTGATTTTTCTTTTAATGGTTAAGTTTTTGGTACTGTGAAAAAGTTACTTAAACTATTTGTTTGTTTATCCCAAAAATGCAAAAAATACAGAGTGTTGTATTAAATAAAAACGTTTGTATCGCCCCAGTGAAAACCAAACATAAATGAAAATGATTTACCTATTCAAAACAAAAAAAAAATTCAAAACAAAAAAAAAATTAAAAAAGTGTTATTTCTTAAATTTACAAAATTCCTAAATACTAAATGTCACAAACATTAATCTTAACAAAAACAAAAATAAGAGTAGATTAAGAAATATACATAAATTTAATTATTTCCATCTCGAATTTATTATCCTGTACATAAAATAATAAAACTGCAATGACTGGGCGACTTACGCCCACCTTTAGTTACTACTTAATTTATTTACTCATTTCACCTACAGCATAGAAAAATATTTGTTTACAATGTTTACTGGGATTATTTTCCAGGTCACTGTAGAATAAATTCACGTACATAACCTATAATATAACATATGTCAAACGTCAAACCTGACAAAAAGTCGCGAACTATAATTTCAAGGTCTAAAAGAATATGCAAAAATATTTCATATATTTTCAAGCTAAAGGTATACAGTGCCGAGTGCTGCAAAATACCCCCACTCTTTTTTGAGGCGTTCGGATGCACTCAGCCCTCGGCTCTGTATACCTTTAGCGTGAAAATACAGTATTGTAAATAACATTGTTGAGCGTTAAGATTCCTAAATAGTCAATTATAAATATAATATATGTAATATGTAATAAAAGATTTAATAGGTAACATGTAGGTAACATTAAATTAACACAGCATTTTATTACACAAATTTGCATCACAGCCGAGGCAAGGGTTATTAACATTAAAAAGCATGCATATGAGAAATTGTGCATTAAAACTTTAAAAGTAATAAAATTTAATGATAATACAAAAATTATTTGTAATATTTAATTTGTGGTAAAACACTGTTTGTTTTAAAATACTACTGTAATTTTAATTACATTTGTTTTTCTAAAAAATACCACTATTAAATAAATAAATTTTGTAAAAATATTATACTGGGTGATCATTTTTTATAATAACAACTTGTATACCCTAATATACAGGGTGTTTCACTTTCGTGGTCCATTATAAGTTTCTGCAGAATCGATATCTTTTTCCGTTCCCCATGGGGAACGGAAAAAGATATCGATTTGAAATTTTAAAACGTTTATTATTCATTTAAGTCTATTTTTCTAAAATATTTTAAACAAAATGCCACTTCCGGTTTAACCGAAACTAACATCAAATTTGTTATTTCAAATATGTTTACACTTTTAGATTCTGTATAGAATTCTGAGTAAAATTACTATACCAAGTCCTAAATTGAATAGTTTTCGAGTTTGTTCACAGTGTCCCTGAACGAAGTTTAAGTCACATAAAAATGACGCCAAAAACTGATTGCAGTTTCTTGTTCGGGACCCTTTGGTGAATTAAAAATGATATTTACCAAAATCCTAGCTGATCCTTTTTTCGAAATTTTTTCAAAATTTATGATTTTTTTTTTAATTTTTATTTCAAAGTCTACCTTTCACAGAGTACACATTTGTACACCGATTTTTATAAAATTATAGTATATTATTGAGGAGACTTAAAGAATACTTTTTAATAATGTTCACATCATTTGATATATACAGGGTGGACCAAAAATCGCTTAATTTTAATAAAGCAAAAGCGTAAATTCATGATTTTGGCATAACAAGCAAAACAGATGTATCCCCATTTTTTTTTAGATATTTCTATGTTTATTAGGTTACAAAATGGCATTCTTATTAACCTTTTATAAACAAATAGATTTTTAATAAAATTAAATAAAATAACGCTTTTCAGAAGTTTTCAATTTTGAGCGAAAAACTGGTTAAAGTTTTTTGATCGGCACTCTTTGGAGATTTAAAAACGGTATTTACCAAAATCCTAGCTGCTCCTCTTTTCGAATTTTTTTGAAAATTCTTAATTTTTTTTTTAATTTTTGTTTATCTTACCCGATCTTACCTTTGACAGAGTACACATTTGTACACCAATTTTTATAATATTGGAGTATATTGTTAACGAGACTTGGAGAATACTGTTTTCATACTGAGCACATCATTAGATTTATATAGGATTAGCCAAAAATCACGTTTTTATATAGTAAAAAGCATAATGCACAAAACAGATTTATCTCCAAAAAAATTTATTTTATTTAATTTTATTCAAAATCAATTTTTCTTATAAAGTCTTGATAAGAATCTCATTTTGTAGCCTGATAAACATAAAAATATCTAAAAAAACATGGGTGGGTATATATCTTTTTTGCGTGTTATGCCAAAATCATGAATTTTCGCTTTTGCTTTATTAAAAGAAGCAATTTTTGGCTAACCCTGTATATATTAAATGATGTGCACAGTATAAACAGTATTCTCCAAATCTCCTTAACAATATACTCCAATATTATTAAAGTCGGTGTACAAATGTGTACTCTGTCAAAGGTAGACAAAAACTAAAAAAAAATCATGAATTTTCAAAAAATTTCGAAAAGAGGATCAGCTAGGATTTTGGTAAATATCATTTTTAAGTCACCAAAGGGTCCCGAACAAGAAACTGCAATCAGTTTTTGGCGTCATTTTTATGTGACCTAAACTTCGTTCAGGGACACTGTGTGTTAAAGATGTAAAAATATATTGGGTGTTCTATTTGAAATAACAAAGTTGATGTCACTTTCGGTTAAACCGGAAGTGACATTTTGTTCAAAATATTTAAAAAAAAAATGGATAATAAACACTTTTAAAATTTCAAATCGATACCTATTTTTTTCCGTTCCCCAGAAACACTCTGTATATATTTATATTTATAGTCTTTTTTATAACGTGAAATATTACAAGGAATAGGTATATATTATTCAAATCAAGAAGGTTACTTGGATTTAGTGATATTTAAATCTACGCTATTTGTTATAAATATTTGTGAAAATAAAAAAACTGTACCAGCCTTGAAAGTGAAATATATATTCATTATAGTCACATACAAATTTAAAGGCGTGGTGACTGTCGTAATTCTATTGTTATATACAGGGTTAACCAAAAAATAAATTTTAATGTCGCCATTAAAATACATTTGATGTATAAATAAAACATCATTTTGTTTCAGTATTAAAATGCTCGACACCCCTCGTACCGGTGCCGTGCTGTCAAAAATATCGTGACACCTCCAAAACAAAAGATGTCCCTTCTTAACTACAGCGTGCCATTTTTGGCAACGCCGCATCCTCCGACCACGAACTACTATCACCACAGTGCGGCAAACGTTCGCCCCCTCGCGCCCCCTCTGCAACCCCTGGCCCACCAGGGGCCCTACTCCTACCCCCCGCCGGAAAAACCGTTTTTGGAGGAAGAGTTCGGCCAAAGGACATTTCAGAATAACCTGCCCAAAGTTCCCAGTGGTTTTCAACAAAATAACTACGCGCAAAACAACCGTAACAATTTAGTGCCGCAGCCCCCTCAAGGGGGGGGTCAGCAACATGGGGGAATACAGTACACAAAAGTCGAAGATGACGGCACCAAAACCAACATACACGCCGTCATTGATTACGACGATTACGAGGACGAAGAAGGGGATGAAGGGGGGCAAGCTTACCCCCCAGTGACCCCCATCCAGGGACCTATATACGTTAAAAACGGTAGTGTGCCGGTTGTGCCCCTCTACTCGCATCCCGTCTTAAGTAACGGGAGTTTTGTGCAGATTCCGGTGAGTTTTTTAAAATAATATTTGTTTAAGTTTCACTTTATTCCTCAAAAAAGTTTTATTCAAAATTTAAAAAACTAAATTGAACTATAATTTTTTGTTTGGTGGTCATTGAAGCTATATACTTTCAAAACACCCTGTATCTTGTTAATAAAAAAATATTTTCCGAAATTTATCAAAGTAAGTACTACCTACTAAATAATATGAATCACAATAAAAAAAAAATCTAAATCACGTAGAAAAAAGTCTAAAAATTATGTAAAATGGGTTAACAAAACCAAAAGCTGCCTTAATTTTTTAACACCCTGTATCTAGTTTATTTTTAGCCGGTTAAATTTTTGTTTTTCTTAAAAGCTTGTTACCTAGCAATTTGACAAGAAAAAATGTCATCAATCAATTTTGTCAGATGACATTTTTTCGAGTTAAATTGCTAAAAGGTAACAAGTTTGAAAGTTAGAAAACATAAATTTATCCTGTCAGAAACAAAGCTAGAGTGTAATTCGACGAGATAATTTTGTGATTAATTGATGATAAAGTCTCTTTTTTAAATTTATTTAAATGAACAGTTAGTAAATGAACAATTATTATAAATTATTCTGGTTGTAGAGGTAGAAGATAGCTCCAATGTATTATTTTCTTCAATAAAATCTGTAATGATTTCATTTTGAATATTGATTTCATTGTTTGACATATCATTTCGTAAATTTGAAACTATTTCTTTATGATGTGTTGCATCTATTTGTAAATATGGTTTTAAAGAATTTCTATTAGAACGACCAGTTAATTTAATAAGTTTTTGGTCGCTTACTCCCGCTTTAGCTAACTCGAGATACAGTACTGGCTCGGTTTAAATGGTTTGTTATTTTGATCTTTTTTGTGTTCAATTGCAGTTGCTGAGATTTGCGTCCATTTTGAGATTATGTTTTTACCCAAGGGCTTGTTTTTGTACCAACCTTTAGAATTTTGTTGTGCAGTAAGAAACATACGATCTGATGTTATGTATTTAGATCTTTTTTCCAGAAGAACTTTAAATAGTCTTACTGGACAAATGCTTGGACCTTCCTCATTTTTTAAAATCCATTTACTGTCACTTAATCTTTTAGATCCTTCCTGTGCAGTCTTAGAAAACATTAACAATTTAGTGAAGAAAAAAACAACGATGGGATGCTAACAGGCAGAATTGAATACAATATCGAAAAACGGATTAATTTTGATATTAAAATCTTGAAATCTTTGAAGAATATTTGCCGTTGAGTTCCACATAGTTTTGATAACGTATTCCTTATAAGGATTATAAATAATCATCTCCATTAATTTTTTTTCATAATGTAGGTATGCCCAATCAAGCAAAATATTTGCTAAATCTTGCTTTGATGTTGATTCGAGTAGTTTGTAATTCCTCGCATTACAAAATGATATAAATTGTCGTCAAATTGTTTATTATTTAAAGTGTTATTTGGGATACTTTTTACAATTTGTTCTTTATTTTTTTTGTCGGAAACGTCACCAAAACGATTAATTTTAAAATACTTTTTGACAACTGGTAATAAAATAGCTATTTACATACCATGGGAGGAAAGTAGTGCTTTTCCTCCCGCGAATAGTTTGATGCCAGACGCGAAGCGAAGGGCATTAAATATTCAAGGGAGGAAACGCATTTTCCTCCTGAGGTATGTATATAGTTTTTTCTATTACCTTTTAACAGGTTTAAGACATTTTAAGCGTTCCGGTTCCTTTTACTAACCCGGTATGGGGCTATAAAATTATGACAAAAAATTAGGAAGGTGTTGCGTCGCCGACGTTATGATGACAACGCTTTGTTGCTATGGTATTTTTGGTAATACAAACAACAGTTTTTATAAGCTGTCAGAATGTTTATCATAAATTTGAAATTCTTCCTACGTTTTGAAAATGAGTTCTAGCGAAGAAGACCTGCCGCAAGATCTTGCTAAAAAGACAAGAATAGCAATTAATTTCTTTCCTTAAAAATCGAAAGAGCGATATGAAAATGAATATAGTTTGTTAGAAGAATGGTTGGACAAGCGCGGAGTAAATCTTTTTCCTACAAAATCAAATAGGACTAGAAAAAGTACAAAAACTCTTGCTAATGTAAAATTGTTCAGAGGGAGGGGGTGGAAAATTAAGTTTTCTAGTAAGGTAGTAGAAAAAATAATTATCCACTTGCAAAAAGTTACCTTCCTTTTTATCCGTAATAAAAGTGACTTAAATGCCATTCAACTACGACGTTTTTATGTAAGAAAAAAAATTATCATAGTAAATACTGTAGAATAATATGAATCACGATGTAGACCTAACATTAACCCATTTTTAAACGTAATTTCCCAATATCGATTAATTAATTTTTTCTTTTATAATTTTGGATGAACTTTAAAATCCACGATCTTACATAATCGCCGATACGTATTAGAAAGCAAAAAGAAATGGCGATAAGAAACGTTAACAAAAATGTTAATGTATTCACGAAATGTTGTGAAATTATTTATTAATATTTAAAAGATGATGTTCTGTAACAAAAACAATAGGAAGTAGGTAACCAATTTTTTATATTTAAATGACCATTCAAAGCTGCATACAAATGACTTAAAGCATATTATGGCCTATTTATAAATTATATAAGCTGTTTTTTAATAAAAAAAATATAAAATAAACGTAATTTTTAGGCACTTGTTTGGCAGCCACTGGTTTTAATGCGCCGAAGTATAGTCGACAGCAGTACCCATAAGAACCTCAGTTAAAGAACTGGCCGACTCTACTTAGTCCGTCGACCCCAACCGCTTACACAGTTTAAATGAATCCAGTGGCTGCAAAAACAAAGTTCCAAAGAGTTACGATAATTTTTAGTATTTTTTATGTATATCCGAAAAACACATACTTTTTTGTTCGAGTGTAGGTATAGTAAATGTCCTCCACTACGTGCAAAATTAAGGCAAGGCTTTGTATCCCAATTCATAGCTTACAATTAGTCATATTATTTTAAATTTTGATTTCACAACTAGATGGAAGACCTTGCTCTTTATTAAAAAGAAATTGCAATCATCTCCATATTATTGCGGATGTACCCTTTCAATAAATCAGATCTACGTTCAAGAACACTTTTCGTAGAAATGAACATTCCTTATATGATTAACATTATTAAAGCTTGCAAAGGTTAAACATATTTGTTATAATGCAAGTATTAAAAAAGAAGGCAAGCCCTGAATCAATTGTCAAATCGGATTTTTTTTTATGAAAAATTGATAAAACTTCAAAATGACCTACATAACAATTCTTGAGACATTCTGTAGATCTTCTCTAAATATATTGTGCCACAATCCACCCAACAAGGTATGTTCTATCTCGTTTCGGGCATACTTAAAATCATGAAGTTAGGCAACCACTGCACAGACTTTAACGGCGGCCATTTTTATGTTGTGCTTCGGGTTTGTGCTGTTTATACAGATTAATAAGCCTTAAAAGAGGCCTTTAGGTGCTAACAATTTTACTCCTCTTTTGTAAAGAGTAAACCTTATTCTATCAGGGCTGTCATCAAACTGTCAAATGCCAATTTTAAGGGTAATTTGTGGGTATGGTAAATTAACCTTAAAATTGACATTTGAAGTATGCGCGAAACGATAGAACAGACCTTGTGCGGGTTGTGCAAGAAAAGCACATGTCACATATTTGTTTGCGTCTCTTGATTTGATAAATAGCATTGTTAACGATTCTAAAAACGTGACATTAGATAATTTTTTCGAAAGTAAACCAGTAGCCTTTATGTTCAGGTTCCCTCTTGACAATAATAATACTAATAACAATACACGCTATACGTATGTATGTATGTACGGCATACACTATTATTTGCTTTGTTGAAAAGTGAATGGAACTCGTATTTTTATAAGTTTTAATAGGCCACTGTGTTGAAACTAAGAATATATTGGATTTTAATAATTGGAACTAATCAATAAAACTACCACCTTTTGAATGTTACTTGTCACGAGTCCTTGTTCTATATAATCTCTGTACAGGGTTTCCCAAAAAATAGAAATATGGATCATGCCCTTTTTTATAAATTAAGACTGCGTGCACCAATGATTTTAAATACCTATCCCCATACACAAAAGTCGAGGGTATTTAAATCTGGAGAACGAGTAGACCATTTTCTGCAATCGCCTTTGTTTACTTTAAAAGTGCCTGTTTCACACATTCTTTGATTTAAACTGGTAAACGTCCTTTAACATGGGGGTATACCCGGGAATGCTTCTTGGTACAATCTTCGAGCTTCGCGACTATTACCATTGTCCTTATTGTACACGAAATGCATGTTGGCCATTTCTTGGAAAGTGCAATTTACCATTTTTGTTAGAAATTACAGTTTGTTTTGATTTATGTTATGAGAAATGTCACCACTGACAAAATAACGATATTTGCGAAGCAGGCTAAGTGATGTTTTTCTATTGCCTACTAATCCGCTTGATATTTTTTTGTGGCGAGAAATTTTATCCGGACTCCCTGTATAACTGTGTACTTTTTCATCATAAAATGCTTGAAATTTCGCACAACATTTAAATTTATCATCGCGATATTGTTTATATAACACGTTCAAGTTTTCACAAACTTTTAATTCCTTTCACCAACAAACACTTTAACCTTCGCTAATTTTAATATCTGCTGCTGTTTCCTTTGTCTGGATACTCACTGACTACTTGATCTCATTTCGAATAAATGGAACAAATTATTTTTATCTCCAATAATCGCAATTATTGAAAATTTATAATTATTATTAAATTATAAAAATTAGATTTAATTACAAAATTAAACTAAATAAATTACATATTAAATAAAGTATTGAACATGCCATCCAATTTTATATATATTATAAAAAGTAGTTCATATAATCTTCCAATAATTATGTAGGTTTTTAGATTTTTATTTTGTACATAAATCATATACATTTATTTTAAATAATACATATTTAATTTTAATTTAATATTTAGAGGGCATAG